AGCAGTTGGCATAATGGCTATGTCACTGGACTCCCATGTAGTTGACTGCGGTTTGAGTCCCAGACCCAGTGGATTAAACTCATGCCGGGCACGTGTGCGTGTGTGCCCAAGATCTCTAGACAAGAATAGATGAGAAGGGATTGGAAGAAAACCTCTCCAAAAATAATAATAGTAATAAAAATTACTTATTTTAGAATTCCTTTTGTTATAATCATTGTTTAATTTGACCAGACAGAGACAGAGAGAAAGGGGAAGTGAGAAAACAAACCACAAGGTCCAGGACTGGAACCATGGTCAGCCACATGGGAATCCAGCACTTTTAACTGCCACGCCATCTGCTGACCCCTTGAGTTTTCATCTTAGTTATATTTTTCACTGTTAGAAAGCCTATTAGGTTTTTTGACTCCTTTCCTTATCACTAGATTTAGTACCTTCTTTTATTTTTATTTAACTATTATAATTATGTCCATCTTATAATTATTCTAGAAAATTTTAAATTTTAAAATTTATGATAGCACATGCACATGAGAGAGAGAGGGAGGGAGGGAGGGAGGGAGGGAGGGGGAGGGGAGAGGGAGAGGGGGACTGACTGAGTGAGGATCATCCTATACGGTTCCCTTCCCCCAGTCCGACTAGCAGGATCCTAGGCGTGCAGACGTGCTCCAGGGTGTTTTCAGGCTGACTCAGGATCTGAACCACAGTAAGCCAAGGAGCTTCCAGCACTGCGTTTCAGTTTGCTATTAACTGTACACCAGCTGGGTCTATAACCTTCTTTTAACCCTAAGAATATGAAGTGTTTCTTACATGCTTATTGTTTCCTATGACTATTTCTGTTGGTGGATTGCTTTTGCAATCCTATTCTTAGTATTTTTAATTACAGGATCACCTTACTGATTTTTCACTCCTACAGAAATTCCACAGGGGTGAAAAATGATCGTTTTGCATGTGCTTCTTCAGATACTGCAGATATGTCCTGAGCCTTGGACCAATCTTCACTGTAACTGCAATATATACGAATCAAAAGAATAAACACTTAAAATATGCTAGGAGTATGAGCTAAATAAAGGTCTCAGTTTCAGTTCACACCTATCTCTGTCCAGATGCCTCAGTTTTTGTCCTCACTGGGCGTTAAAATCCCAGCCCCTTTTCCTTACAGATCTCAGTGCCCTTCTCCAGTGCTTTCATATCTAATTACTTATTGTGTTGATTTTCCATTTTCTTTTTCTTTGTATTTCCCAAACATTTCCCTTTTCTTCTATTCAGACCAGGTTTGCTTTAAAACGTGTCGTTCAATATAGTTATAGACTGGTTATACCTTCCCAGTGTAGTTTCAGGTGGGGACCAGCTTTCAATGAAAGACCACGTGGAGGAAGCTGTACCCAGTCTCAAACTCTCACCTGTAAGGGGACCCCCAGTTCTTCTATTGACATGTACTCAGACTCTTTGGCACTGAAAGCAGTTTGCCTATCCTCAGACACTACTACGATCTCTGTGCTTACATACACAGTCACCATGACAGTGGGAAGGAGGCTCTCTCCCATAGGTTGTCAGGTTGGGTCTGCCATAAGCATGCAGAAACTCATATAGAGGGAAAGAACTAATAGATTCAAAATAGTATATAATAGATGTTAAAGATGCATACAGAGAAAGGGTTAAATAGTGTATCATATTTTAATAAATGGAATGAAAATTACCCAAAGATGGAAGAAACTTCCCATGAAAAATTCATCAAAATGATTTGTTTCTAATTGATAAATAAATGGACTTAGTATCATTAAGAATGATACATTTCCTATTGAACATGTATTTTAGGGTAAAACAAGCACATAATCATGCTAATGTTATTGTGAAGCAGAATATTGATTTGTAATTTCAAATGTGAATTAAGGTTTCATTGTGAGCCTGTGATTTTTCTTCCTTAAAAATTTGTTTTTAGGGCCAGCAGGTGGTGTGGTGGTTAAGGTGCTGGACTCCCACATGGCTGACCACAGTTCAAGTCTCAGACCTGGTGACTTGCTTCCTTGCCTCTTCTCTCTCTTTCTCTCTGTCTGTCTGTCTGTCTGTCTGTCTGTCTGTCTGTCTCTGGTCAACATAAAAAAATAGTAAATTAAATAATTCTTAAAAAATGTTTTTTCTAGCCTTGATCATTGGAATGACATAAAGGTGGTTCTAAATATCATTCTTCTTTAAAAAGGTCCTAGGACCAGTGTAGGAAATGAGCAGGAGGATTCTGGACCGTCTTGGCACAAAGAGCAAGGAGGTGACCCGAGGCAAAGTACACACAGAGGTTGATGGGCTCCCATGGCAAAGGTGTGCCCATGTGAGCTTCGATGAGAATATTGATTGTAGTAGTTTAAAATTCATTGACAGTAGAAACAAACCCCAATACTATGAGCTATTAGTGGTATTACAAAAAGAATGAAAAAGTAACAAAACATTAGTCAGTGTACAAGATTAGAGGTTGCTAGGACACAAGCTCATTATCCTGAAAACTGATACTGAAAGAGAAAGATCTGAGTATCCTGCTTTTGCAGCATGAACTGTGTTTCAAAGGAACCAGATATTCTCAGTGCATGAGTTTTTCTATACAAAACTGCTAATAAACACAAAAGAATTCTGAAAAATCTCCATGTTGCAACTTCTAAAAAGTAACAACCCGATGATGGCACAGTGGTAGAACACAGTGCCCTGTGAGGTGGACCCACATGGGAAGTTTCACATTCACGTCTGAAGGACTCCCTAAGTCTGGGGCATGGATATGCCCGGGATCCAGTGCTGGCTGAAGTTGGGGGTGCATCAAGCTGTCAAGGCCCTGTTGGGAGAGAACTGTCTGTCTCTCTTGCTCATGGAAGTAACAAACTTTAAAAATAAAATAACTTCTGACAATAGTCATTAAGGAGCTGTGAAACTATTGATGAAATGTCCATGGAAATTTCCACAATGGTTGTCAGTACCTGACTCCTGCATTATTAGGTCTGTAAGAATGAGACAACCAGGGCAAGTAGGTGGCATAGTGGTTAAGGTGCCCACGTGGCTGGCTGTGGTTTGAGTCTCACACCTGGAGGCATGACAGTAACGCTAGGTGTGTGGGCATGCATGCCCAAAATCCCAGGAGGAGAATGGAAGAGAAAGGATTGAGGTGTGCCCGTCCTCGGGGGCGGGGGGGGGGGTCCCTCTCACTGTCTTTCTTTCTGCACTCACTCTATGAAGAGAGAGAGAGAGAGAAGAAAGAGGAGAGAGAGAGGAAAGGGAGGGAGGGGGGGAGGGATGCAGAGACTCGCAACCAGGGTTTAATGCATTATTTAACTATGACACCTTCCACAATGAAGTTTACTTCCAGCCAGCCTGTACCAGGCACCACGCACCGAGCCTGTGCACGCTGACCATGGTACTGAACCTTGATCTTCCATGTGGGTCCACCACTCCAGCAGTGTATCAGTGCTCTACCGCCTAGGTGGCCCTTACTTTTTGAGGACTTTAGTCAGTTTATCACCTTGACCTTTAAAAAATTGGCTTCAGATATCATATTAAGAAATAAATATTTGACCCAAGATCACAGAGGTTTTCTCCTAGATGTATTATTGTTTAATGTTTCTATTTTGGTCACTAAATCCATTTCAATTTCACGTTTGTGTTTTGGTATGGTATGAATCAAATTCGGTTTTTTTTTTTTTAACATGAGGTTTTCCAGTTCTTCCAGCACTATTTGTTGAAATTATCCAATAAATTGCTTTTTTTTTGTAAGACCAATACGTTTCCCTTATATGTGTGACTCTCTTGCTAGACTTTCTATTCTGTTCCATTGAGCTATTTGTCTCTCTTGATGCCAGTACACAATGCACTGTCTTGATTGTCATAGCTTTATCCTGTCTTAACGTTAGCTAGTGTTAATCTCTCACATTTTTCTTCATTTAAAAGTTGTTTTGGTCCTTTGAATTCCATATAAATTTAGAATTGGTTTTTCTATAAAAAATCTGTTATAATTACATTGAATCTATTAATCAATTTGGAGGGATTGATATCTTAACAATATTGATTTGACTGGGGAAATGGATTATAAAGCTAAAGGCCCCTTTCAGGTTAATGTTCTTAAAGTAGGTAAGAACAGTGAGTGTGATTTGCTTTTTCTCTTTGACCTTCTGCTTGAGTTCAGGAATAGAGTTAAGCATTGGATTTAACTTGGGCTGGGTCTTGCTGTTAAAATGACAAGTGAAGAGAAGGTGACATTGTACCCATGTGCAGTGCCCACTGTGCTCACTAGCAATGGGACCCAGGGTTCAGAAGGACAGCCAAACTGGTGAGACATAATGAACTTCAGAAAACTGCAGTCACTCAGCTTTGAGTGCGACTTCTAGACACAGTACAAATGACTAGGATCGTTCATGAATTGAAATTTCGTTTTAGACTAGTTCCATCTTCAAGTGTGAATTTTGTGTTTTACACTACATTCTCATTTTACCATCAGAGAAAATTTCCTCTCTCTGTGGATGCAAACAAAGGCCAGCCTTCACTGATCTATCTATCCGCTCTTTCTCGCCACCAACGACTCTTCTGATAAATCTCACCATCATTAGTTCCTCAGTGACGGAACCAACGGCATCTGGACCTGTGACATAGTCACTAATGTTGTGTGTGAAACAAAACGAAACCTTCATGATTAGAACCCCCAATGCCTACATTCTGATGTAAACACAGCCACAAGGATATTTCTCTAACAAGGCATCCACCCATTTTTTTAAGTGTTATAATTTATAAATCTTTCTCATTTAAGAGTGCAGTGTTTTAAAAAAACAGCACATTGCTTAACTCTAAATAGCACTATATTCTGTAGAAAGAAGAACACAGGAAAAAGTTATGATTAACCATAAATCTATATTAAATCTTGCAATTTATAAGAGTCTACTGTTACTGCATTCACTATGAAAGGTAGTCCTTGTTCTCATTTAATGCTCAAGACAACCATTAGGTCAACCTGCCCCTTGAGATTTAGTTAAAAGGGACCCATGCTTCCTTTGTTCATGCATTGCGCATGGACTTACAAAATATCTATAAATTCTTGGGGGTTGTTGTAGACGCTTTTTTAACTGTCCATCTTTCCTCCTAACATTCGCTCCTCTTTTCCGAAATGCTCCTACGTGCTGTTTCTATTGTAGAATTCAAGTGTCACAGCTATGACAGTAGATCGTGGTGTGGAAGCTTCGTCACCCAGAGGATCCTATCTCCTCCACCATAGACGTTGAGGGCTCGGCGTGTGACCTGATCCGGTCCAAAGACAATCTCTGACCTTTGTATATTTGAAATGAAGGATCTTTTGCCTCTTCTGGACAATGTGTTCTGTGGTGTACTGTAACGCCTGGGACCGCTGCAGTCATTTGCTACCACAGGGGAGCCAGAACTAATGCCCAGGTTGAAGTGGAGCCAACGGACTAGAAGAGAGATGTAGCTAGAGCTTGATTGACATTATAAACTCCTAGATCAAGCCAGACCTGAAACCTACAAACCTCTGTACTTTGTGGGTTTTTAAACTTAACAAATTTTCATTGTTCAAGAGAGTTTGCATTCATTTTTTATATTTATATATTAAGTGATACCTAATAACAATACATAGTTACGTAGTACAGTGTTGTCTTTCAGTTCTTGAATACAATGTATAATGATAAGTCAGGATAATTTGCACATCCATCTCAAACATTTATCATTACTTTGGATCTGGAACATTCACAATCACTTGTAGCTGTTCTGAAATGCAGACTATACTAGTGTTGACGATAGCTAGCCAGCTGTGCTATAGAACAGTAGAACTTAGCAGTTTTGCGTTTCTCCATGATAACAAACACTCACTACATTCCATGCCACTTCTTCAAATTCTGCTAGATGCTTGAACTCATGACATGGCATCTTCCATAGCTCTCTCTGTTTGGTAGTGTTGACTCAGATGTGGAATTCAGTCCTTACTTTCCATTAAGAAGTGTCTAAACACAAGATTTTATGTGCGTGGCAGATTTTGCCAGAGGTTTGTGAATGTGAATGTACGTAGAATGCACGAAATGAGGAATAATTGCAGTGTGGCTGTGTGCCAGCTGTTCCTGTTTTTGAGTGTCTTGGTGCCCGTATGGGGTGTCGTGGGGAATTTCTCACCCACTCCCACTCTCTCAGGCTCCAGCCTCCCGATCCCTCCTGCCCTCCCCCCCTTATTCTCCTCCTTCCTCTCTGGTGTCCTGATTTATCATTTATTTTATTTAGTTTTATTGTTATTACTTTATCTTCTTCTGCCTTGCCTTTGGACCTTCCTGGCTAAACCATGTATCAAATACGAAGAAATAAAATCTCTCCTCAAGAGGCTCCCCCACAATGGTATGCCTAGACAATTATGCAATTATATTCATCCTATTCTGTTTCACGAGTGTAATTTTTTTTTGGTCCAGAACTTGAATTGAAGTTTTATAATCAAATGAATATCAAGAATTATAGATTTCAGGCCAGCGCTATAGCAGAGTGGTTAAGGTTGCCAAAC